TAAATTTGAGGACTTTAAGTTGTTTTGTGGATGAATACTGACATTTAGAAATATGTACATAAAAAAATAATATTTAGAGGTTAAGAGTTGCCTCAGAAAAATTTGAATTGTTGACATTGAATTTAACAATGTAAACAATCGTTTTTGTGAAAAATTGAATTGTATTGTTGACATCAAAACTAAAAATATTGCGTTTCAACTTAACAATACTACCTTAATTTATACTTTAGAATTGCCTCGGAACCTTATTTTAACTGACAAATACTATATTATAATTTTAACTTTTTCTTTGACTATACTCATTTTCTTACTCTTTTCTTTGTTTTTATACTATTTATATTTTTGTGATAAAATAAAAAACTTCTAGTTGTTCTGCTTCTGGACACTGATGAAAACACAAATGATGGGCTTCCTCAACAATCAAAAATATATACATTTATTTTACAAATTCCTTCCATATTATTAGGGTTACGCCCTTCAGAGAATTAAAAATACAAAATTATCTTCATCAAAGCCGATGCTTTACATCCGACGTTCAGTGGCAGACTACTATTTCATATTGTTTTACACCACATGGCTTTAGCCCTCTGGTGAGAAAGACTTTAAAACAAAACTTACAACAGTTACTCTTCTCAACAGCTGAAATTTAGAATAGTGTGATTAAGAAAAATATGTGAACTGTTTGCAATTTCAAATTAATATTGAAATGTACAGGTTTAGAATTTTCTACAGTGAAAAGTTCTCGGAACTTCAGTATTAAAAAAAGTATACAAAAACTGGACGTTAAGAACATATCCAATGAGCGAGCAAAGCAAGCATTGGATTGCGAAGCAATCCGAAATGAACTGTGAAAGCAGTTCCGGGGGTTGGTGAACGACAGCGAGCAGGGGGCGAAGCCTTCTAGTATATTCATAAAACATTTAATTTATAAATTAATAAAAAAATAACTTCAAAAATGTTGGGGGGGGGGGGATTTTCTACGTAAATTTTCTAAAATTTTTAGATAAAAGTAACAAGTTTTTTCGGCATTCTCCTTACAAACGCTTGTACTTTTTCTAAAAAAGGTTAACGAAAAAAGGAATAAAAAGTGTTAAATTTAGAAATACAATAAAAGTGTATTCTTTTTGCTTTTGTTACATTGCCTTGTATGACGAATAGTTACTGTACGTCTTCCAATGTCCTGTTTTCTCATTTTCTTTCTTTTTTTTTAAGTATCAGTTCCTTTGATACCCATTGAATTAGCAAAATCTTTTTCATTGTATGTGCAGATCTACTTGTTTGTACACTATTTTATGCATCAACTTTTCTAGAAAATGGATGAGTCAGATAACTTCTTTATAAATAAAAGGCAATTTCCTTTTTATGACTGCTTCACAAAATAAATCATTAATTTATTCAAATAAAGGTTTTTAGAAAGACCAAAAAATCTTTTAAAATTTCTCTGAAATTAGAAGAAAAAAAATTTATTGGTTAGCAAAACTTTTTCGTGTCTTTTGTGAAATATGTTCAGCTAAACAAGGTTTTTTTTCTACTCAGTTTTTATAAAAGTTAAAAAAAATTAT